TAACCATGTGAATACTCTTCCAGAACTTCGTTTGATGTATGACTTTCAGACATGAACACCGTTATTCAATTACTTCCATTATTATCATCTCAATTCAACATTGATTTAGCTACCTAATACCAATGACTACTAAATTACATCTTGTCACTCAAGCACTGAAACAAATGCATGACGACTTCAACTTTCTATACTTCCTACCTCTTGAGAACTTAATGCTCTTCTCACTTATTTCTAGTTAATGTCCCCAAATTGTACACACTTTAAACCTGCTACTTGAGAAATGGGATTGCTCAGTATGGAGAAGAGGAAACTCAAGGCGACCTTATAGCTCTCTACAACTGCCTGAAAGGAGGCTGGGCTGAGGGGGGAGTCAGCCTCTCCTCTCGTGTGATTATTGATACGTCTAAAGGAAATGGCCTCCAGTTGTGCCAGGGGAGATTCAGGCTGCAAGTTAGGAAAAATGTCTTCTCCGAATGAACTGCCAGGCACTGTAATGGGCTGTCTTGGGAAGTGGTGGAGTCACCGTCCTCGAAGATGTTCAAGAAACACGTAGACTAAGGGAACATGATTTAGTAAGAAATATTGGTGGTAGGTGGACAGCTGAACTGGATGATCTTGGAGATCTCTTCTAACCTTGGTGATTTTATTAAAACCTGAGCTCAATAGAAGCTTTCCTGTAAGCTAAGGTTTGGTCCTTAAACGTGATGAAAGGTCCTGGTAACTTAACAAACTGCAGTATGGAATAAGGGCATGAGCAACAAGATGATATTAGAAAAGAAATCTCACTGTTTCTTACATGCAGGTTCTCCAACAGACTACCCAGTAAAAATGACGTATCAGTTTCTACAGCAGTCTGATTTTCCATTAGTTTAATGAGCAGACTATCTTCGCTCTCAGCATACTGTTTTTGTAATCAGCAAGCTATAGAAAATGTGGTAGTAAGGTAAGAATGAAGCTCATAGGTCAGCAGCAGCTGAGACAGAAAAGGCAGCTGAGTCATTCCTTCTCTGCAATAAGAGGCAAGTCAGAAAGTACAAAGTCACAGATGAGGCACCACAATGCAACACCCAAAAGATGAAAACATTTCTAGTCTAATAAAGCACGTTGCCCAGCATGGGCACAACGTCCCACATCTAACTTCAACATCCCGTATTTTTATGCTTTTGAAACAAGCATTAGGAAACCATGATCTCTGCTATCTTTCACGCTGGCTTCCTGCTTGGGGACATTAACATCTGTACAGGGACTAGACAGGCATAAGAGGTAACAAAAAACCTAAGTGACTTAAAACACGTTTTTTTCCTTTCTTTTTTACTCCTTACATTTATGTTACATCAAAAAAACAAACAAAACAACCCTTGGAGAGACGGTAACGATGCAGCATCACATGGAACATTCTGAACAGCTGGACGAAAGATGAGTGCACCCTTCTCTCACCTAGGAGATTACAATGCTAACAGAACACTTTTCAATATTTTGATCAGTTTTGGAAGCTTAAAATGTGTTCTTTTTTATTAGCTTCACCTAATTTATACACACTACTTTACCACATGTTATTACTCACATTTAATTAAATATCTCAGTTGCAATTTAAGAATGAACTAAAAACAATCTCAAATCTATCCACATCACCAAGCCCTAATCAGCAAGATAAAATCTCTGGTTCTCAATTAAGATAACTTCAGCAGTCTAAAGAGAAATACTTCACAAATAATCAAATTATATTACAAATATTCGCTCTTTAAGTTGGACTCTCACAGAACAAGAGGAAATTATACTGTTCTTTAAATTAGAACAGAAATTGATTCCTCAAAGGCATGAATTCTTCAATTCTTAGTATAGTCAGAACTCCCTCTGCACCTAAATCTCAACTCTATGAAAAGCATACTTTCACAAAGACAACAGAACCATAATCTAGCTTTTCTTCTTTGAAACTTCTGATGACATTTCTAGGTGTGCTAAGAAGCAAGTCAGAATTTGACATTCATTTGACAATCCTGAAGCATAACAGCCAGCGTTCTGACAGCTGATTGACAAACTGGGAAGAAAGCGGCAGTAAGATTTCTTTTCTAATATCATCTTGTTGCTCATGCCCTTATTCCACACTGCAGTCTGTTAAGTTACCAGGACCTTTCACCACATTTAAGAACTAAACCTTAGCTTACAGGAAAAACTTCTATTGAGCTCAGATTTTAAGTGGCTTGTGTAATTCTAATTTGGTAATTCCACTTGATGAAAAAAAGATAATATGGCTTTAGAAAAATTATCAAATGCCCATCGTATATTCAAGTTAACTTCTGTTTCTGTAAAAACTGTGGCGAAGATGAGACCAAACTCGCTACAGAAGACAAAAATCATGATCAAACGCCATTAAAACAGAATAGCAAAAATAAACAGGCCCAAGCATGCTTCCTCTAGGTCTGTACATACACCCAAGCTTAATATCATGTGATCTGTGCACCACCTCAAAGTTCCTTCCTACTTGGACCAACTACTGTTTCGCAGATGATCTCTTATGAATATAAATAACTTTATAACAGTTGCTTGATGTACTTAGTGAAGACCACAAAAGAAATCTATGCCAGGTTGTAAAGTACTAACTTTCCCATGTGCGAACACAAATTTCATTTTGCCCAAATCCAACTACACAAAGCTCGTATCTTACCAAGGTTTCCTATTGAATATTCAAAGGAAATGATTTATTAATGTGTAAAACCCAAGTACCATATGCAATCAATATCCTGCTGCCTCTCCTCAGTGTCACTTTAGAAGATGCATATTGTGACATCACGTAACGCTTAAGTTTCAAATCAGATCATGACCAGCCACTGGAGGAGACAAAGATTATCACTGCAGGGATTTGTGCTTTTTTTAATGGGAAGCAAAGGTTCCAGAACACTCCCCAGTCACCATGATTCAGTGTAATTTTTTTTCTTTGTAATGGGAGAAACAAACATGCAATAGCTCAGCTTGTGAATATATTTGCACTAGTTTTTGCAGTTCATTTTACATTAACGTGTGGATACACTGTCCGAGGGATGCATCTGTTTCTTAAGACAGACTGAAAAGCACAAAAATTCTACACAAAACCAAGGCACATTCATTTAAACAACTTCCCTGTTGTGGAGAAAGTTATGCAGGCAGAATCTCCTTTCTCATTGCCTATTCCAGACAGGAAACTGCGTCCATCTCTTCAACCTGCACCTTTAGTAGACACTAGTGCAATGTCCACAAGGAATTGCCACTTATTTCACTTACACACACGTGAACGTACACAACTTATTCATGGTCTGTACACAGGCCCTATTCTCTAAATACACCGCATGGCTGCATGCTTCTTTCCTTCCAAATATGAAGGTGTTGGAAGCAGTTTAAGAAGTGCTACGAGGCAACAATTGAAACATTTACTTTAAAACAAAAACCTAATCAGGAAAATTCACATCACACATTTTCGAAAAGTATCAGGAACCACAGATCTTTAGCAAGCAGTTTTCTTCTATAGCCACGAGAGTATCAGCCTATGAACTAACGGTCAGTAAAACCTAACATCTGATTTGGAATTAGAGCAGCACATCTCACCAGTCTACAGGGAATTCCTATTCTACACATCCAATGGAAAGTTCATTCTCAAGTAAAATCCAAGTGTGTGCTCTTTTATTTTCCTTCGAATCTCTCAGGACCCATTTTTCGTGCTTTTCATTTGAATACCATTGTATGCATTACTACTATGCAGAAGAACACCAGAACACACTCCCACGAACCACTGCTGTTAATGGGACAATCACTTCCACACTTCCAAAAGCCAGGCCTTGCTCTGTGCAGTTCTCAGAGCTGTACCAGCCTTCATCTACCGCAGGCTCTCCGAGTACTATGATGTGACATATTAAAAAAAAAAAAACAAAAACCCACAATTACTGACTGTTACATATAGATGTACAGTTAGTGCAAGAGAACAATTATTTTCAGCTCAAGAATTGGTTGTAATTCATAAATCCAAGTGCTTACACATCAGAAACACGGGATTAAGAATGAGCAGTTACAGACATTACACAAAACAAAAAAGACGAAAGATAACGGAAGACTTCTTGGAACAGCTTTATTCCAAAGGCTCCACATTCAGCACCCACCGACGCAGGTTAAGCACAGGTGAGAGCACAGGAAGCTCCTCATTTCCGTGCACATTAGACTCCAGCCAACGACAGCACCTCCTGACTCCCCTCGGCTTACCTTGATTGTTTGGGGTTGCATACAAGTTACACAGCCTGACTGCAGTTTCTGCCCACGCTAAGGCGAACTTCAAGCCCAGGAGGACATAACCGCCCGCCTCGCTCACCGCCCCCACCCACCACGGCCCACCGCCGAGCCCCGCGGGCCGCAGCCCGCTCTCACGCCTCGCCGCCCGAGCCCCTATCTCGTAGAGAGCAGCACCTCGCAGCCGGCCGCGGGGCTCCACGTGGCCGCGGGCGGACGGCTCCGGGGGACGGGGCGCTCCCAGCCCGCGTTTACGCTCAGAAGGAGGGCGAGGGAAGCGGCGACACCGAGAAGGAAAAGCCGCACCGCCTCCCGGGGCGGCGGGCCTGGCCGGCCGCTGCGGGCCCTACGGCGCCCCCCGCAGCGGCCTGGAACCGCCGCGTTCTGCGCCCCCGCCGCGGGCGGACGGCTTTACCTGCCGCGTGGCCGCCCCGGGAGGACGGGGAAAGCGGGCGGAGGACCGGCTCGCACTCCGCCGCCTCGGAGCACGGCTGCCCCCGCCGCCCCCGGCCCCTCGCCCACCCGGCGGGTCCGGCACCGCCACGTCACGAGGCGGCCGCGCCGCCGTGCCCCCCGCCCGCTGCTCCGCATCACGGGGAAGGAGACGTCTGCTAGTGCCCGCCGGCTCCCGCTCCTCGTCCGCAACCCCGGGCCCCCCCCTGCAGCCGGCCCAAGCCGGCCGCCACCCGCACCGCCGCGCCGGCCGCTTGTGGGGGAGGGAATGTAAACAAATGGGGTTTTATAGCTACCTCACTCGAGTGCCGTGTGCATCTCCCTCTCCGCTCGGTACCAAACCGCCGCGGCGCCTCCTCCTCCTCCTGCAGCTCCTGCCGCCGCCGCCGCTACGCTATTCGCCAACCACCGCTACGCCAACCCCCGGCGCGCTCGCCCCGCTCACCCCTACGCACCGTGCGGATCGCGTCCCCGCAGCCCGCCCGGCCCAATGCGGAGCCATTTCCTCCTCTTCCCCCGCGCCTCGCTTCCCCCTCCCCTACTCCACCGGCTACGAAAATGGCGTAGCGCTTCCCCTCCCCTCCCTGCGGCGCCTTGCGCTCATCACTCAAGCGAGCGGGGCCGGGCGGCGGCGTGGAGCGCAGATACGGGAACCGAGCCTCACGCAGCCCCGGGTTCGGGCTGCGCTGTGCCGCTCGCTCCGAAAGGAGCTCGCCGGGCGATACCGGCTATCGCGGAGCCACGGGTGGATCGCCCGGACTAGCCCCGACCGGCAACCTCGTATCTCCCCTGCGCGGCAGCTTAGTGAAGCCGGGCCCGGGGCGCGTACCCAGCCGAGAGCCCCCGCCCGGCTGCCGGCGGCCTGCGTGCTGCCGTGGCCGCGCGGCCTGCGGCTTGAGTGTGTGCCGGGGCCGGGCGTTTATTCAGCGGCAGCCGAGCGGAGTGTCGGCGGTGTTCGGGGAGCGCGGCTCGGCCGTCACCCCGGGATCGCGCCAGGAAAGACTCGCGCTGTCCTGGCTGACGGAACCCAGCGAGTCCGTCAGGCTTACTCGTGAAACAAAGCTGCTATCTGCGTGATAAGCGTGTCCCCTACTCGAGATGGAGATGCGGCCCATGATCACAATATATTTGATTCCTCAACAAAGTCGTAGCAGCCGTAGGGCTCAACAAACATACGTAATACCTTATGTAGATTAAACCCTTTACCGGAACAGCGCCGCGGCTCATTAGACATTTTGGTTTATGCTGTAAGACCCAGAACATACAGCAACTTCACCTCAAATACTGCTTAAACAAACTGGTTTACTTTGTAATGGCAATGTATAGAAAGCCTACTCAAAGGCTGACGTGCAGTTGAACACGTCACATACGATTTAAGACATTTCCTTTTTATTTCTGAGAAATTTGCATGACTTTTTTCTCCAAAACCAAATGATGCTACCCTAGCAGGCTTCAGACCTCCCCTCTTTTTGGTGCAAGAGGCACACATGTTTCTCACAGACTCTCCTTTTATGGAGCTGAAATAATCCACCTCCCGCTTTCCAAGCATGTTCCTCTGCGGAGCTGGCTGGCACATCTGTACTGCCCTAGGTCCGGCCTGGCAGAACCAGAGCCACTCCTACTTGCAGTCCTACCTCAGCCCAAGGCTTATCTCACTGCAATAGCCTTCTGAAGTAAATTTTGGCTCGGCAACATATCTCTGGAATCCAAAGACAGTCTTAAATACCAAAAATACAACGTGCACGTAACATGAAAGAAAGTTGGTATCTCCGTGTCTCCCAAAAAAATCACATAACCAGAAAACTGAAGTCATGGAGAAAAACAAAACACAACAACAGCAAAACCACCAACAGCAAGATTTTCCAGATAAGATGGCTTCTCTATGAATATTCCTTATAATCTGAGAGCCGTTGTTTAGGTCAAGGTTTGGGGGCTGCTAAAGTGATTTGGAGGGCCTATACCTGCCCCAGATTGTTTTATGGTAGTTGGAATAATTTCTGCCTCAAAGCAGGCTCTTTCTCTCAGCTATTTGGTGTAGCAAATACAGTACAGACCTGATTCTGACATTGATCATTAGACATCTACCCTAAAGTACATCGTCCCATGCTGTGAGGTTACTTCTCTGTAGTGTTAATTGCATATTTTAGTACACAAGCTGCTTGTGCATAGATACTCGAAGGAATCAGAATGGCTTAGTTTGGGGGGTACCTTTAAGATCGTCTAGTTCCAACTCCCCTGCTGTGAGCAGGGAAGTACAAGTTTCTACAGCTCAGTTTCACAAACCAAGAACAAAAACTTAAATCACGCATCGCTATGAGAAGTACATTTCCCTGTAAAGCACGTGAAACAACTTTCTGTGCTGCAGGGAAGCTTGTAAAACAAAGCTGGGAAGCCAGCTCTGCGGGAGCGCTTGGTACAACACAAATGCACACAGCAGATCTAGACCGATTCTTCAGGTTTTATAAACAGAGTGATATGTTACCATGATTTCATAAAAGAACTCACTTTCCCTCCTCCCCTCCACCTCCCCTTTTCTCACTGGGCACTTTTTGAGTACAACTGAACAGTACATGCTTGTACATTGGGTTGCAGGATGGGAATGTATTCTGCTAAGTGATGTGGATGTGTGTTTGTGGTACAATGCTGCAAAAGCAGACTAGGGCTTCTAGTAGGGCTCCTCTCAGAATGAGGCCCTGTCTGGACACCCATCTCCAGTTTCAGAAGTGTGCTTTGCCCTCTTCCCCTTTCCTATGTTCCACAGAACACTTGGCCATCAGATCTGGGTTTAGGTCAGCTAGTTGTGTTGCCACAAATGACAGTAAAGCAAGAGAAAAGATGTAGAATTATGTTTCGAATACAAGATCCAGGCCTAAAGAGAAAAGCAAGGTTGGATGGAATTTGAGAGATCTCATACACTGATTTCCTGTTCTCCCTTTCTAAAACCCAACTACATGTGGGGAATAGAAAACTTAAATAAGGAGACTTATCTATGCGTACATATAAGTTGCTTGTTTACGAGAAAGGTTTTATTCACTGCTAATTTAAAAGGCAGATTTATGTTTTGCTTCCACTTACATTCTTATGTCCAGTTACACATTCTGCACAAGGCTTCTGTTCTTATTTTTTGTTTCTGAATGTAAGCTAAAGGAAGAGCCCTTGGGGAAGTATCCACTCAGGATTAGGAACGATAATAACGAAAAAAAAGTCTTAACCAAGAGAAGTTTGCTTGGAAAGCTTGTAGTTGAAGATGTTGACACATCGTCCATTGTCATGACTTGTTCCCAAAACTAAGTTTTGTGCCCTTAAAGCAAAAGTCCCTGGCAAATTCATCTTTTATTACATTTGAAATACTGATGTCTAAAGAAGCAGCCAGGATGATTGTGGGAATACAGGAAAAACTGTTTAGAGCAGAAGCTGTGGAGCAAGATAAACAGCAGATGATGGCTCGAAGAATCAAATTGCTCCTTCATTCACAAACATCTGTAACCTTGGCCAACGATTTCATCAGAATTCAGGGCAAATTTGAGTGCCAGCATACCTGGTTTTGTGCTTTACTTTGTTTCCTTTCCTGTTCTTTAACTGTTACAGCTTTTGTTCTTGCTTTTCACTTATTTTAAGAGCCTGAATCAAAGTCAGAAATGGTATTTCTTATTTGACTGTTACCTGTTCAGCTTGTCAGAGACTTTCTTGGAGATAGCAAGTGGGCAGAACTAACCTTGAGGAGACAGAGAATGGCTAACAGGGCAAGGCCTGCTAGTCAAGCAGATAAGTTTTACCAAATTTATTTGTAATGAAAGAGCTTTACTACAGGAGGCTTTACTCAGAAGTATGCTGACAAGAACTGCTGAAAAGAAGTATCATGGAATCATATAGAAGACATTTTCTTTCCTTGTTACATAATTTCTTAATGTGGATATCAAAATGTTGAGATTTGTCTCCTCTGCTTTGAATTTACCAGTGTACCATATAACCATGTGTAGTTAATTTTACTGAACTTTCAGTATTCAGTATAGCAGTCTGGTAAGTACTCATTCCCAGAGGACAATGAGATTAGGTACTGACACATAAAAAAAACTCTGCAAGGACATAAGTGAAGGTATTTAAGCATGTGGATGAGCTTAAATATCACCACAAGTAAGTAGTGACTGTAAGATTAAAGCTCACGCTTGGAAACAGGCAGAGATGTCCTCCAGGGGATTTCAGTGCCTCAGGATGACTTGGCTTGCTTGCGTTGAATTTAAAGGCCAAGTTTATTTATTTCAAGGCAGTATATCAAAATGGCAGTTGTACTAGAGACTATATGGTTTTTTTTTCTCCATATTCCTGCTGAACTGGGTGATCTTGCTTAAGCTTTTCTTTGGTAGATTTGTTTATTAAATTCTGATTGGTATTACTGGTAGAAATTCCGATGATAATTTAAAGTAAGTCTGGTTAGTTTTGCACCAACCAAAAAGGACCATTTGAAAGTTTCTTTACTTGTAAGATGGGACAAAAAGGGAAAATATATTTGAACTGTGTTGTTGTTCTTAAAAGAACAAATCTTTACCCTTCTTCCCATACAACAACATGCATATACTCCCCCATAAGGGCAGCATATATACAGGACAGCATATATACGTGTATAGGCACGTGTAGGTTTTGAAGCAGAAGTATTAGTGTCAGTGACTTGCTGTGTGTAATTTTAAATATGGCACTAGTGTAAATATTGACGGGAAACACATTTAAACAGAAGCTTGTGATTTTTTTTTTTTTTTAAGCATGCCAAAACAAGAAATAGATTAAAAGGAAGTTTGTTTCAGAACTTACTAGACTACTGCGGGAAAGGGTTTGGCTTTGTGTTTGTGTTTTCTTTTCTTGTCTGTTTTTGTTTTTAACATGCACTGGCATTTTTAGTGAAAAAATATTAAAACCTTTTTTGTTGGCTGTAGACTTACGGTTACACAAACATCAAAGGACATAAGTGAAAGGGTGTGTGATGCTGCAGCAACAACTGAAGTATTTGTTCCTCACACAGACTTTTTTCTGCAGTTGGACAGAAGCCAGTTTGACTTGTAGCTATTCCGTTCATTTTGCAAAGCTAGCAAATGCTAGTTTCACTTATCCACAGCAAGACTTTTTCTGGGAAAACTTTGTCTAAATGACTGTGACTTTACTGTGTTGTTATTTCTTTTAGCACCACTTGCTAGACTTGCTTATCTAAAGCAGCTCAAAGCCCTTCCCTGGATCAGAGACTCAGCAGGTTTGCTGTAGCAGGGATGGGAGAAGATTCAAAATGGAAGATACTAAAAGTAAGGACAATGTGTCACAACCTTCTTCCTCCCCAGAATGTTTGTTTACTTTTCTCTTTCCTTCCTGACTTTTGAAGACACCTGTTCTCTGTGGTATTTTTT